TGTAAACAAATGTAAGTTCTTTTTATGCTTATGTTTCTATATTGACGATGACATCCCAAATGTTTTAAAATGAATAAAATTACATTTCTTCGGAAATGCTTTGATAATGAAATTATCATGTTTTTCTGGGAACAAATTCCGCAACGTTTTTATTAAAAGAGATGCTCTGATTTTTATAAAGCATAAACAAAATCGGTCTTTTCTGGCCGTGAAAATGGGGGATGTCACACAATTCATTATTTTCTTTAATTCAGCTTTATCCCCATCATTATTCTTCTTACAACTATTCATACACACAATTAAGTTTGTATAGTGAGCAGTTGTATATCTTTCAACTTCACTTGTTTGGAAAAAAAAAATACTTCGATGACTTTCCCTTCTTACTCTTTCCAGCAAAAATTAACCCGAAAGACTTCAAAAAAATTTCACCATCTATATATTTCTTCAATGCAGCTTCACTTAAAACCTTTTCTTGTGGAACCATTATTTCTTTTCCAATTGAAGCTGCCAACACAACATCGGTCTAGACAATCATAATAATTGTCTATAAATAATTTGATGTGACCGAATCCCAAAATGTAACTCCTCTTTGTCGGTATTTTGAAGTTTTGAAGCATCTATGTCTTTGAGTATGTATGCCACTTGAATCAAGTCATTCGAGTTCATCAATAGGAAATCAGCAATAGAAAACTCAAAAGGAACCTTGTTCGCCCTTACTACATGATATCGAAAATTTTGTAGCATATTTTCAAAGAGTTCACCTTTCGAAATGTTCAGCACTTGAGTAATTTTCACTAACGACCAAACATCCTCCTGATCTTTTCCCAAGACAGCATGAAACCTTAATTTCATGTGTACACCTTCTTTTTTAATCTATTCACCACCTTGTATTGTGCAGTAAGAAACAACATTTCGTTGATGGGAAAATCAAGTTGATTCAGATCCAAAATCTCAATAGCATAACTTTTCCTGGGCTTTTTCTCAAATTCATACATCTCATTAAAAGATACTATGGCTTCGATATTCTCGTAACTGTGCAACTTCCTTGGAACTCCCTTATTCAAATGCGGAGGATCATTTTTTCGAAGCCTCAGGATGCTTGCAATCTGTCTTTGTTTATCCATTTCTGCCTCAATCTCAGCCTTTCTTTATTCTTTGGATTTTTCAACAAGAATCTTCTTCCCATTATCTTGATTTATAGGATTTTCCTTAGGTTTAGACCCACTTCCCCCTTCACCAGCTGAACCAATTACAATGCCTTTCGTAATCGACCTTTTAGTAACAACAGTTGAACTTACTGGCTCAACTTTCGACACAGTTGGTTTTGATGTCGGAATTTGGGTTGTGTACACCTTGCCAACTACCTTAGCTTCTTCATTTTATCACACCATATGCACATTCTCCTTTACCAACCTTCACCTATTCTCTCCCTTGCACCCCTGTAACAACAGGCGGGGCATTCGTTAGTAGGAGACTGACGATTCGTGACAATGGTGCCAATTGTTTATGAAGAACTGATTCAAACAAAAGAAATTTTTGTGATAACAATTCTGGTGTGATCAGAGAAGGTGATCCAGGCTTCGAGATTAATGCTTTTAATTCGTTCAACAAAGTTGTGATTTTATTTAAGCTTTGAACTTCATGAGTAGATTTGAGCAATCCGAGGACTCAAAGCTTCATATAACTTTACAAATTTTGTCACTGCATCTGCAATAATGTCCATTTTCTGATTGAGAGATGCATAGTCACGTTGCACAATAGAAATCTCTTTGGACATATCTTCGTGAATTTATTGAATTTTAAAATTCACGTCTTCATGAACCTTTTTAACATCTTGTACAAATAACACATGACGTTCTTTGGCAAGTCGTTGAAGATCCTTGATTTCCTCAGTAAAAGTCGAAGACTGTGACTTTCCTCTTAACTCGTTATTTTTGTCATTAATATCCACATTCTCATTGAAATTAAATGATGCTTGGAACATTCATTACAATAGTGAGAAGAAAACTCACTTCAAAGCCTGAAAAATAGCTAAATAGATAGTTGCTTAAAATATTGCCTCTACAAATTATCTATACAATTAGCATGAACCAATCTCAATCTATTATTTAAATTACCTAAAATGCCCTTAGGTCAAACTTGGTCAGATCCATGGTCAAAGGTCAAAGTCAAAAGTTAAAAAGTCAACATCGGCTGAGTACACCATGCGTACTCAGTCACTACGCATGGCATATAAATGCCTTCCAAGATAATGAGACTCTCGACCAGTACACGTTGTGTACTCCTAAGGTATGCCCTGCGTACTTATGTCTATATCAAATTCTTCTATAAGTGCTTATTTCATTAAGAACCTACGTCCATAACTCATATCTAGTCCTAAATGCCATTCTAAGTCATAAAGTTTCCGACTTTATGACTTTTCATGGATAAAAGGAGTCCAAAAACCAAAACCTTAACTTATTACACAAACCCAAATTTCATAACTCTTACATGGAGGGAAGAAAGGGACCAAGATCACATTTTTATGGCTCCTAACACTCAAAAACATCTGAAAGTGCAACTCCTTTGGTCTAGAGTAAGCCATACTCATATATACCAAGATTATGGGACCACAATGCACAAAAAACTCAAGAACTAGCAAGATCTAGTGAAACATTCATCAAGTTCAGAACTTTATACCTTTTGGAGGTTGCTTAAAAGGTGAAAACTCATATCCACAAGGCTTGAAGCTTCTCATTAGGTTTCCAATAGCCTTCTTCCTTCAAAGATGAACACCAAACACCAAAATGAGCTAAATATTCCACAAATGATGATTAGGGTTTACAAGGAGTCGAATAGGAGAATGGAGGCAGAAGGTGGAGGGTCTCAAGAAAGACAATATCATTATATATGGCTCAAGCCCTAAAAATTAGGGTTTGCTCATCAGCTTAAAATGCCCTGTGTACCTCATGAGTATGCCCTGCGTACTCACATGCATCCGCACCATACTTTAATGAACCACACCATGCGTACGCCCTAAGTACGCATGGGGTAAGGACCATTTTTTGAAATAATTTTGATACTTTAGATAATAATGGAAATACCTGATTGGATGGGTGTTACATCATCACTCAAAGGGAATCTAGTTAATTTAAAGGATAAATGACCATGAAAGCCCTTTTGGAGGGAAGTGGTTGATATCAGGTCAACTAGAGGTAGCCCTTTTGGAGGGAATCTAGTGGGTTGGGATCAATTATGATAACATATGTTATGTGTTCAATTATATGTGATTATTATTTGATGTTTATTCATATGATGTGAAATACATATGATCTATATAATGGGTGGGTGTTGTGATTACTCATTAAGCCCTAAGCTTACAGTTGCTGGTCTTTCAAGCTCGAAGGGCAACGAGTTGGCATGATTGGGATATTTGGATATTCTCAGAGGGGCATGTCATCTACTTTAACCATTTTATTTTACATTATGGTTTTAAAACAAAACTTAGTTTCCCCATTTTTACTATGAATATGTTAACGTGACATAAAGATATGATTTCATGATTTAGTAATTAATACGAATGAAACATTTTGGTAAAACCTATACTTCAATTTTCAAAAATTTAAGGTTGGATTTTTGGGTTGTTACAATGTCAATAAGACTTTCTCGTCCGTAGTCCATGAATGTTGTAGACCAACACGTAAAACATTCAAGAGCAAATTTGGTGAGAATAAGAAACAAAATGTTGGTTAAAACAAAAAATAGATTAACAGAATGTTTATATAATAAATAAAAGTGTAAAATGATATTTATAGGAAAATATTAAATTTTAGAAATGTAACCTTTACACCTAATGTTATGGAATAGGGGAACGACTAGCGACACTTCACCACAATGGGAGTGTTGGTGATTTGTATCACTAATATTATTTAAGTTTAATTCGATTAATTTGTTGACTAATGAAATCTTGATAAATATTGAACAAGGGTGGTGCATGGTGCATACTTCTTTGTGTTTATTAAGGTTTAAAAATACATTGTCATTTAGGGAAAGCCTCTGAACCACGGGGGTACGGGAGCAACACCCCTAGTAGCGAGGTCCAAAGGGTGGGAACCCTTGGCGGAGTCAAAGGGGTAGAGCCCCTGACTTTTGTACCTTACTCCTAGACCCAAATTTAAGGTAGTTTAGTAATGGTTTTGTTCCAATTTTCAGATAATTTTCAGAAAGGAGGTTAATTCATGTCACTACAAATTTGTCAGTTTTTAGACATGATGTTATTTCCCTGTTAAATCGGGTATTCTCATTTTTTCATTGGTACACAAATAGATCATAACTTCATCTTCATTCTTTGTTCTTGATACACTACTAGATTTCATCTGATTAAAGATTTCGAGAGTACCATCGAAAGACTTTGATATGAAAGTGTTATAACAACCTTTAGTTTTTCCAAGTATTTGAAACCTTGTTTTTCTAACAGGAAACACAAACCGTCTAACAGCACGACCTTAGACGACGTGTGTTCCATACAACTCCAACAGTGGCGGACCTATGTAGGGCATTTGGGGTCCCGGGCCACTGCTCAATTTCCGGCACGCAGTGTAATTTTTTTTTTTTTTTTTTGATTTTTTCTATTACGTGCACTCGCTTGAAGTACGAGGGACACCCCTACTAAAACAGTCTGCATCCGCCACTGAACTCCAATCATCCACCTTAGCACCCCACAAGCTAGGAATAAGGTGTAACAGATGCCCAAAGAACCCCATATATCGTCGCCTTAGCACCCCACAAGCTAGGAATAAGGTGTATCAAATGCCCAAAGAACCCATATATCGCCATATATGACTAATAAACCCATTAGTCACCCTTCTAAAAGTAAAATAATGATCAACGGTTTTCATGAGGTATGCGTTCTGGAAATTATTAAAAGATATAGGTTAACAACCGTGAATAAAAAAGAAGACATGTACAATGGGCGGCAAAAGAAATCAAATCAAAATTTAAAACGGAAAAAAAAAACCAACCCAAGGTAAACCGTCACATTCAGCAATTGCCGTCCGCTAACCTAACCATAGTTCCACCCTCACTTCTATAGTGTATCTGTATCACAACTATAAATACCAAGCCCTAATTCTCAAAAACCATACATTTGCATCTGAAGGCGTCTTGATAAACGCCTTTTGATTGTGTGTTTGTTTGTATATCGAGTTCTTAATCTCCAATTTCCTGTCATATCTCAAGTCTAATCTCCTGCGAAAATGAGAGAGTGCATCTCGATCCACATCGGTCAGGCCGGTATTCAGGTCGGAAACGCTTGCTGGGAACTTTACTGCCTCGAGCATGGCATTCAGGTCCGATTCTTCATGTCATCCATCTAAACTTCTCTGTTTTCTATATAAAAAGCATAATTTCTGATTATCCGTTAAGTTATTCGCCAGATCTGAATGCTTCTATACATATTAGTTCTAGATCTGTTGCTTCGTTAGCGATCGTGCGCTCTTCGTTTATTATTTTAGCCGATCTAATGATCTCGTCGTACTTGCATGCGTAGTTTAGTAGATCATTTGTTTATGATGCATATGTTTTTGAATTCTAGGTTTTCATCATCGCAATTACGAAATACTGTTTATGAAACTTATGGATCTGAAGTTTTTTACCTTAATGTTAAACCGTGAATTTTTTTCCAACTCTTGGAGACTTTTTAGTCCAATTCATCTCTAGAAAATTGTGGATCTAGAAGCATTAAGCACCATGAGTTTGTACACAGATATATTAGAAACCTGTGATTTAGTTAGATTGGTTCTTTGTTCAAATTGAACGTGAATTTTCGACTTATCTATGTAAGTTTTTAGATTTATCGTTTAATTTATATTTGCTATGAGAAGCAAATGCCTTAAAATTCGCATCTCATTTCAAGTAAAAGATCTAGTCCTAATACATTACTGATTCCTCGACCTTTTCTTTACAGCCTGATGGACAAATGCCAAGTGACAAAACAGTCGGAGGAGGCGACGACGCTTTCAACACCTTCTTCAGCGAAACCGGCGCCGGAAAACACGTCCCACGCGCCGTCTTCGTAGATCTCGAACCCACCGTCATCGATGAAGTCAGAACCGGAACCTACCGCCAACTCTTCCACCCTGAACAACTAATCAGCGGCAAAGAAGACGCCGCTAACAACTTCGCACGTGGCCACTACACAAGTAAAAACTTTTCTCTTCTTAACACGTGTCCAAACCATTTCATACCTCATGACACGTGGCGATTCAGTTTCAATTTCTTATAATGAAAATTTATCTTGATGTTTCAGTTGGGAAAGAAATCGTGGACCTCTGTTTAGACAGAATCCGAAAGCTGGCTGACAACTGCACCGGTCTCCAAGGCTTCCTAGTCTTCAACGCCGTAGGCGGCGGCACCGGCTCCGGTCTAGGCTCTCTCCTCCTCGAACGCCTCTCCGTCGACTACGGAAAAAAGTCAAAACTCGGGTTCACAGTCTACCCATCTCCCCAAGTCTCAACATCAGTAGTCGAGCCCTACAACAGCGTCTTATCAACCCACTCGCTTCTAGAACACACGGACGTCGCGATTCTTCTCGACAACGAAGCCATCTACGACATCTGCCGCCGGTCACTAGACATCGAACGTCCGACCTACACAAATCTCAACCGTTTAGTCTCCCAAGTCATCTCTTCACTAACTGCGTCGTTACGTTTTGACGGAGCTTTAAACGTCGACGTGACAGAATTCCAAACTAACCTAGTTCCATATCCGAGGATTCACTTCATGCTTTCCTCCTACGCTCCTGTGATATCAGCTGAGAAGGCTTATCATGAACAGTTATCAGTTGCTGAGATAACCAACAGTGCGTTTGAGCCTTCTTCTATGATGGCGAAGTGTGATCCGAGGCATGGGAAGTATATGGCGTGTTGTTTGATGTACAGAGGGGATGTGGTTCCGAAGGATGTGAATGCTGCGGTGGCGACGATTAAGACGAAAAGGACGATTCAGTTTGTGGATTGGTGTCCGACTGGGTTTAAGTGTGGGATTAATTACGAGCCGCCGACTGTTGTGCCAGGTGGCGATTTGGCAAAGGTGCAACGTGCGGTTTGTATGATTAGTAATTCGACTTCGGTTGCGGAGGTGTTTTCGAGGATTGACCATAAGTTTGACTTGATGTATGCGAAGAGGGCTTTTGTGCATTGGTATGTGGGGGAGGGGATGGAGGAAGGGGAGTTTAGTGAAGCGAGGGAGGATTTGGCTGCGCTTGAGAAGGATTATGAGGAGGTTGGTGCTGAAGGGGGGGACGATGAGGGTGATGAAGGTGAGGAGTATTGAGTACCGGGTGTTTGTTTGGTGGTGTGATTGTATGGTTTCTTTGTTTGTTTTGTTTTCTGTCGCGAGTGACTTTACTACTCTTTATATGGGGGTGATTTGAACTTGTTTTGTTTTGTTTTTGGGTATTGTGCATTAGTGATTCTGATGTAATGACATATTTTAATGATCTTCTCTGCTTATGGGTTTTATACGATGTGTTTGGATTTTTTTTGGGTGCTACTATTAATACCTTTATTTTCTTGTCCTACCCCTTTAATAATTAATTTTTTGGTAAATTAATTTTTATGTAAATTTTTATTTTGCAGCTTTTTCCTTTTTACAGTTTTTTATCCAATAAAAAACAATTGTTTTAATAGAACAGAATAAATTCAGGTTTTTAAAGAGAATTCAACTTTTTCCTGTATATTGATAATATTTATGTTTTGAAAACATGTTTTGTTTCTAAAAACACTAAATAATCAAATTTTGAACAATTTACAAAATATAGTTACATTGAACTATGATCACTATTAATTCATTTAAACAACCAATAAACAACTCTCAGTTTATATAAACATTAAAAAACCATTCAAGCACTATATGAACAATAATCATAAAAAATTGTTTAACAGTGGAACTAGATTTAACCAACGATTGTCAATTAACCGGTGGTGGCCAAACCAAGCCGGAGACAAAACGAGAGAAATAGAGATCATAAAAAGACCACCGGAATCACCAATTACCATCATAAAACACCTTTTACCATTGTAAATCATCGTTAACCACCGTTGACAATCATCGCCAGAAAGATAGAAAGAGAGAAAGAGAAAACGTGGAAAAGACCATCGGAACACCTAGTTCGCCGGAGAAGAGATCGTGATAAAGACCACCGTGAGAAAGACCGTCGTTGAAACGTCGGACCAATAGCTATGAACATCGTCAACGGACCTGAAAAAATCGGAGAAGAAACCGCTTGAAACAGCCGCTGGAAATCACCTGGCCGCTGGAAATTACATCTTGCATCACTCCACCCTTGATGACTGATTTTGGTTTGTAGGGTTTAATGAAAGTAAGCATTCTTTTATCCTATATATTTATATAAAGAGTCCATCGGTTTAAGAAGATATTTTATTTTAAACCCCTGAATTATATCTTTTATATTTTTTGCATTTACTTATTTATTTTAATGATTATTTTCTAGTTACGTACATAAAAAAATCATATTAGATAAGTTATTTATAAATATCTTTTGTTGTAATGATATATTTGTTGCATTTATTGTTTTAAAGTAAAAAATATACGAATGGGTTTATTGCAAAGTTTATTCTTTATCAATCATATAAATAAATATGGATTTTATGGTAAAATATTATACATGTAAACAAATGCAAAAGTTGTAATAAAACTATTATATATATTTTCGTATTATATAAATAAAGTTTATTGTTCAAAATCATAATTATGATACGTTTGTCTAAGATGGAAAAAAAGGCAAGGCGTAAAGAAATATTAATATTAATATATTATACTCTATTTATTGAGCATATCATGATTAGTATGTGGTTTTTGTATTTATAATATTATAATAATATGTTTTTTTGTGAATTTTTATATAGATATGTTTAAGTTGTTTGGAATCAACTTGTCGGCTCGCAACGAAGATGTTCCTACAAAAGACTCAACATTTTCCACCGATCAGGTTATATACTTATACTAAATTGTGATGCTTTGAAGTAAAACATATATACTAAAACACTTGAAATTTAATTTTAGATGTTCAGGTCTCGTGAGGAATTGTTTGAATGGACACAAAACACAGCACACTCTTTAGGATATGTCATTATCACTAAAAGATCAAAAGCATATGTGAACGGATTTGTGTATAAAGTCATACTTGCATGTGATCGTAGTGGAGAGTATAAAGCTACTAACACAAGTAGAGTATCTGGAAGCAGAAAGACTAATTGTAAATTTGAATTGCAAGGAAAGTATTCAAAAGTATCTGATCGATGGACACTAAGGGTAAAATGTGATGAACATAATCATGCACTTGCACAACATATGGAGGGTCATCCGTTTGCACGACGGTTATCTGTTGATGAGAATCGTTTGGTGGCAAATTTAATAAGAAAGCATGTAGCGCCACGCCATATCTTGTCAACATTGAAGGAGCAAAACGAAAACAATGTGTCGGTAATTAAAACAATATATAATGCACAACAAAAGATTCGCATGCATGAGAAAGCAGGAAAAACTCCAATGCAGGTTCTTATATCCATTTTGCACAACAATAATTATATCTATGAGCTTACTACAGGTGCTTCAAATGAGTTGGAGAATTTATTTTTTGTTCATCCAACATCTTGGAAGATATGGCGTGCATTTCCACATGTGTTGATAATAGATGCCACATACAAAACGAACAAATATAATAAGCCGCTTGTTCAAATAGTTGGTGTGACCTCAACTCAAGGGATGTACATCATATTTAGCATTCGTGATTGACGCTAACAAGGAGAAGAAGGTGATGCAGAGTATTCCTGTGGTGTGTGATTATCCGGAAGTATTTCCCGAAGATCTTCCTGGATTACCACCTGATAGACAAGTAGAGTTCAGAATAGACTTGTTACCAGGAACTACGCCAATAGCAAAAGCACCTTATCGATTAGCAACGACGGAGATGAAGGAACTGATGATGCAACTTCAGGAGTTGTTGGACAAAGGTTTCATTAGACCTAGTTCATCACCCTGGGGAGCTCCGATGTTATTCGTGAAGAAGAAAGATGGAAGCATGAGGATGTGCATCGATTACCGAGAGCTGAATAAGGCAACAATAAAGAATAGATATCCGTTGCCGAGGATTGATGACCTATTTGATCAATTGCAAGGTTCGAGCTATTTCTCGAAGATCGATCTTAGGTCAGGATATCATCAGCTGAAAGTGAGAGAGCAGGATATAAAGAAGACTGCGTTCAGAACTAGATATGGACACTATGAGTTCTTGGTTATGTCGTTTGGACTAACCAATGCTCCGACAACATTCATGGATTTAATGAATAGGTTTTGTAATCCGTTCCTTGATAAATCCGTGATAGTGTTCATAGACGACATTCTGATTTACTCAAAAAGCTAGGAGGAGCATGACAGACACTTGCGAGAAGTGTTAGAATCTTGAAGAAGGAGAAGCTGTATGCTAAGTTCTCCAAATGTGATTTTTGGATTCGTGAAGTCCAATTCTTAGGTCACGTGGTCAACCAAGAAGGGATAATGGTTGATCCAACAAAGATTGAATCTGTAATGAAGTGGGAACAACCGAAAAGTCCCACGGAGATCCGAAGCTTTTTAGGATTTGCCGGATATTACCGAAGGCTGATCCAAGGCTTTTCTTCGATCGCTACTCCATTGACAGCTTTGACCCACAAAGGAGCTACTTATGCTTGGAGTGATAAGCATAAAGAAGCATTCGAGAAGCTAAAGAAGAAGCTATGCGAGGCACCGATACTTTCTCTACCCGATGGAGTTGAAGACTTTGCTGTTTATAGTGATGCGTCTGGGGTTGGATTGGGTTGTGTTTTGACCCAAAGAGAAAAGGTGATAGCATATGCGTCTCGACAGCTTAAGGAGCATGAAAAGAATTACCCGACTCATGATTTGGAGTTGGCAGCGGTAGTTTTCGCTCTGAAGATATGGAGGCATTACCTCTATGACACGAAGTGCAAACTTTTCACTGATCATAAGAGTCTCCAATACCTCTTTAATCAGAAGGAATTGAATATGAGGCAATGATGCTGGCTAGAGTTACTCAAGGACTATGACTGTGAGATACTTTACCATCCCGGTAAAGCTAATGTAGTTGCTGATGCTCTCAGTCGGAAAGTCAATCTTGAAAGGAAAAGGCCAAGAGCGTTGAGAATTGAAGTTGTCTCGACTATTTTAGAAAGTATAAAGAAAGCTCAAAGTGAAGCTTCTGAGAAGAATGACCGGAAGGAGGAACGTTTGGGCAAAACGTTGGTGTTTGGTACAAACGGTCATGGGTTGAAGGTGTTCCAAGATCGGATTTGGATACCTAAGACAGGAGGAGTCAGAGATCTTCTGATGGAAGAAGCTCACAAGACCATGTACTCGATTCATCCGGGTAGCACTAAAATGTATAGGGACCTGAAACCCTACTACTGGTGGCCGACGATGAAGCTTGATGTTGCAAAGTATGTGGCCGAGTGTGTGACTTGTGCGAGAGTCAAGACACAACATCAGAAACCGTATGGAAGTTTAGAACCTTTACCTATGCCTATGGGTAAGTGGGAAGACATTGCCATGGATTTTGTCACTAAACTACCCAGAACAAAGAATGGTCACGAAATGATTTGGGTGGTCGTCGATCGATTCACTAAGAGTGCGCATTTCATAGCAACCAGGGAGAAATGGTCTATGGAAAAGCTTGCGAATTCTTATGTGAAGGAAATTGTGAGACTTCACAGTGTTTCGCTAACGATTGTATCGGATCGTGATAGCCGTTTCACCTCAAGGTTTTGGAAAAGTCTACAAGAGGAAATGGGTACCAAGTTATGTTTAAGTACAGCTTACCATCCGCAGACTGATGGTCAGAGTGAAAGAACGATACAAACACTTGAAGATATGCTAAGAGCATGTACCTTGGAATTCCTAGGTAATTGGGATGAACAATTACCATTGGTAGAATTTTCCTATAACAATAGTTTTCACTCGAGCATTAAGATGGCACCTTACCAAGCTTTGTATGGACAAAAGTGTCATATGCCGTCTTGTTGGCTTGAGGCTGGGGAAAAGCAGTTTATGCTACCGGAGTTGGTTCATTAAACTGCTGAAAAGTTGAAAATAATTAGGGAAAGAATGTTAGCAGCTCAAGATCGTCAAAAGAGTTATGCTGACAAAAAGCGAAGACCGATGACTTTTGAAGTTGGGGATTCGGTTTTACTTAAAGTCTCACCGTGGAAGGGACTTATAAGATTTGGTAAAAGGGAAAAATTAAGTTCAAGGTTTATTGGACCGTTTAAAGTTCTTCAGAGGATTGGGAACCAAGCTTACAAGCTCGAACTACCAGAAGAACTGAATGGAATTCATAACACTTTCCATGTGTGTTATTTGAGGAAGTTCACGGGAGAAGTTCCCGACATGATTCCACTTTCGGAGTTGAGAATCGATGAGAACAAAAGGTTGATTGAAGAACCAGAGGCAATCGTTGACCAAAAGACAAAGAAGTTGCGACGCAAGATGGTCGAGTTAGTGCTTGTCCGATGGAAACACACGAATGTGCCGAATCTCACCTGGGAGACGGAGAGTGACATGATGGGTCGCTATCCATATTTGTTTGTTGATGTGTGATTCCGAGGACGGAATCATTCTAAGGTGGAGAGAATTGTAACGCCTGTGTTTCTGGGCTTGTCATTAATGTTGGTATAATAGTCTAGGTTAACCTTTGTAACTCGTTTTGAAATAATAGAAGTGTATTATTTGAGTATTATGTGCTATGTGCTAAATTGTGTGTCTTAAGTTAATTAAGAATAAAAATAAGTGTCAAAAATGAAATGTTAGATAAAGCCTATATTTATGGATAATGTTGTAGTAGTTGAAACGAGGTTTACGAATATATAAAGAATGCCGAAATTCGAGTTATAACGAAGAAGTTATGACCTGTCGAAGTTTCGCGACAAAACCGACACGACCCAGCGCGACCCAGCGCGATGTAAATAGTGAATTTAAGGTAGATAGATATATATCCTTAGTGATCTAAATGAGAATTGAAGATCTCATCGATAGTAGTGCAACGACGGAAAGACGGACGGAATCGGAGTTCAGATGAAGGAGTTATGAATTTCGAACGGAGTTTTCCTATCCCGACCTACTAAAAATAATATATAAGTAATATACTTATAATATATTAAAAATAAAGTCAAAATTAGCCAATGGAGTCTAAACGATATTTGTAGAGCATAATCTCACCTTCGCGACGATATAAAGAACGTCGAAAACGGAGTTCGTATGCGAAAGTTATGAATTTCTGAAGTTCGGGGTGCGAAACCCCAAAACTGTCAGAGACCACGACGTGGCAATCAGTGCCACGACGTGGCAAGTGTCCTGACACCTCCGGGAGGCCCCCAGATGCAACTTGGGATGACGCATGCAGTGACGACCAAGCCCACGACGTGGAAAAAGGTTGCCACGACGTGGCAAGGGCCAAATTTGCCCAATAAATAGATTTGAAGGGCCAGCCGTTTAGGGTTGCTATTTTCTCTCTTCTCTCTCCCGTTTTGCATCGATTTGCGTGACAGAAGTACCCCGAAGCCCCGGTAATATTCCTGAGTCCCGAAGCAAGTCCCGAGATCCCGAGAAGTGCGGTTTCCGAGCCGAAGCTCTGCCCGCGAGAAGTTCGATTTTTGTAGAGATCTTCCAGATCTGCTGAGGATTACTACTTTTGCAAGTCGTAGTATTGTCCGATCATCTTCTGATCAAATGAGTGTATACTACCTTTCATAAACGCAATAATAATACAAGTATGATTTGAGTGTATTAAGTATATTGTTGTTTATACGTGTGAGTGCGTTGTTACTTTCTCCTAACGTATAATTATGAAGTATTTTATACGAGATACGTGTTATGTGTATATTTTGTTGTTATGTGTGTGAATGTATATTGACTTTCTTCTATCTTACAGATCTGATTATTTCTATATGAAATATGTGTTATGTGTGTGTGCCTCATCTGTTATATGGAAAATGTATTGATCAAGCATGCTATACAGGTTTTGAAAATATGTATAAAAATGTATGTTTTTATCTACTAATATGTTGGGTAGAACATGGGTAGATAGTTGGTGTGTAATAAACAGATGAGAGGCCTCGTTGTTGTTTTGATCCAGTCATCTAGCGGAATTTAGATGACGACCACGAACTTTTCTAGACAGTCTAGTGGAACGCTAGCAGGCTCATAACCTGTAGGTGTTAATGAACTTGGGTGTTCATTCGCTGTATTCCATCCCCCTCATGGTTGCCTTATTTGACTTATATTGCTGAGGAAACCCCGCAGCATGTGTTGTCACCCCGATGAAAATATTCTTAGATTAGGTCCCTTGTGTTAATTATTTTACGGACATAAAGTGAGAATAACAGGAATGGGTAACTGGGTTATTGTTGGTTGATAATAATTAATTTAATTATTTATTGTGGGTTGAAAATCGTATATGCTCACCAGGCTCCCAAGCCTGACCCACTCAGTTTTATTTGTATTACAGGAAGTGGTGCCAGGGCGTAAGATGGATGAACCATCAAGTTGTTTTGTTTACAAGTCTGTATATGTATATATTTGTTGAATGACTTGTAATGTTATCGTTTATGCTTATTGGTCTATATCGGAACATGACACCCCGAGTTTTGATTATATAATGAAAAATACATTTCTTTTTATGAAATGCTTTGGTAAACATTGTTTTATCATGTTTTGTTTTTGGGAACAAATTCCGCAATTCTTTC